GACTAAAAACACATCTGTTCCACCTTTATTTGACCCTCTAACTCTTAACACTTTCTATTCTATTTTAATTCTACTTTATATATATTTATCTTCTTTTTTTATTTTTATTTTAAAACAACAACAAAAAGCAAACAAACACTAGCTTTCTATTTTTTCTATTCTATCTACTTGGTTTTCTTTGTGTGTGTGTGTGTGTGTGTGTGTATATGTGTGTGTGTAATATATATATATATACACCTTGCTACGTGTACTGCGTTAGGCTAGCCGAGACTTGTCATTTTCACTTATATATTGTTGCTCTTTTGTTAGTTTTGACTGCTTTTATTGTCCTCATTTGTAAGTCGCTTTGGATAAAAGCGTCTGCTAAATTACTAAATGTAAATGTAATGTAAAAGGAGTAGTTTCTTCCACTGTTAGAACGAAAAAACTCCGGCGCCGGCACTGCATGCGCGCACACAGTTAAGCATTGCTATCTTGACAATGCAGCCTGTTCATTATCATAATAAAATACAGTCAGTCAAACATATGGAAAAAAATATGTAGTAAAATCTCTGCCGTTAAATGTTATCACCGCACCGCTGTGATGATATGCAAAACATTTTGTTTTACGTGGATATTTGAACGCGAGTGAAGTAGGCTACATAATAAATAATAATTTGCCATTCAAATACATCGCGAATACGGAAACATTTGATTTTGTGTGGAATGAGAGACCCAACGTTGGTTTCAGTTTCGTTTTAGCCTAAATGAATTCGTTTTGGCTTGTCGTTTATATTGCTATAACTTCTTATATTTTTAATTCTTGTTATTTTGTAAATACTGTTAATTGAAAGGATTTGTTGAGGAGTGAGGGGAACTAAAATAGCCTAGCTATGTTTACAGAGTTTATTATAATGTTTGTAAACATTTCGCATTAGCATTAGGCCTATTTCTGAATGAAACAATAAAATGCGACTTATACGCGACTTATGTTTTTTCCCCCTAAAAAAACCCTTTTTTTTTATACGCGTAGCGTATTTTAACCATACAGCAAACCTTTTTAAATATTTTGATAAATTACTGAAAAAATTAATAATTAAATGACTTTTTAAACCATTTAACTGATTGTATTAATCGTTTCAAAATTCTTACGGTCGGTTAACTGGTTGAACGGTTAAAATGAACATCCCTAATACACACGTATACACACACATATACACACTACAGTTTAAAAGTTTAGGGTCAGTAGTTTTTTTTATGTGGCACTCAAGACTAGTGTAATGGCTGCTGACATCACAGTAATAAATGACATTTTCAAATATATTCATATATTATTAATTAATTATGAATTTATTTATTTATAAAAGATGTCAATTGTAACAATATTTCACAATATTTTTCCATGTTTTTACTGTATTTTTTTTTATCAGATAAATGCATTGAACATAAGATACTTCTTTCAAAAACATTACAAAATCGTATGAAGCTAAACTTTTAAACAGTAGCATGTATTTAATTTTCTTTTTGTTTTTGTAGTTTTTTTTCTGAGGTATGACTGTTCTTCATTTATGAAAAACCATGATTGAATCTAGCAGCTCAATATTGGAGTGCATGGAATAATGTACATTGATTGAGTTCATGGTTTTAGGGGGGGGGTGTGTGATTGCAATTATTTGCCTATATAGCACAAGCAAGAACGAGATTCAATAACACAGCAAGATGTTATTACGTTTAAGCAATCATCAGAATTTTAAAACTAGTTACAGCTTTTAAATTGATTACATTTGGCTTCTCCCTCTTGTGCATGTATGCACAGACAGCACTGTCACATGTATAGTGCTTTAAGAGGGTTCGCACAAGCCCTTGGCAACATACTAAAAGTCATGATCTGATTATGGAAGTGAATGCTCAAATGTAATTTTTATACAAAAGATGAAAGGAGTAATATTTCATTCAAGTTGTCCCCCCACCATTTCACACACACACACACACACTTCTGCCACAATGTGTCCTGCTTGGCAAGTATCATTTAACTTTTAATACATGTGGCTGTCATGCTCATGTCCTGTGCTCTGGTGTAGAGCAGATGAGGTGTACAGGCTTTATATAGATGTCTTTCCCACCGGCATCGGACTGTTTCTGCATCCAAAGTGACCTAGAAATGCCAAGCAGAGAGGCAGGAATGCAGGTCCTCTAGGGATCCAGGAGTCTGGTCTGGCGAGCCCTATCCCCGTGTCCCTAACCCCACACATGTCCTCTCCTTCTGCACAACCATTTAGAGAAATGTCTCCTTGCCGGTTACGGCAGGTTACTGAAGGACAAACGCACAAGTGTGTGCACACACACGAAGCAAGAAGATACATGGGTGTTCTGGGAGATGTGACTCTTTGCAACTCTCTGACCTAGTTGAGACTATAAATAATTAATGAAAAAATTATCTAAATAAAAATGAAGTAGTTTAGCTCTCAGAGTATTTCAGCATTAAGACGTGTTTTCATCTGTTTACGTGCCTGATTTTCATCTGTCTTGTCTCTAATTCCTGACAGATGTGATTTTCATGAACTATTTCTCCTCAAGTGACTCAATGAATTACCAAACAGCAGGTCATAGGAACTATCTGACAAAGTAAGGGGACATATTATGAATCTTATCAGTTTGGCTAATGAATATTAATTAGGTAGCATAAGGTTTTTCCAGGACTCTTTAACTGAATTGCTAAAAGGCATATACTGTAAGTGTTAGACATATAAGAATCACAGCTTGTGTCCAGTCTACGACAAATTACTTAATATAATTAATATTATATATTTCATCATGGCCAAGCAGAATAAAAAATGTGATTGTTTTTATTTTATTGTTTTTAATTATTAATCAAATTATTAATGTAGTTAATTATGTCCAATAATAATAATAATAATAATACATTTATTATTATCTTGTATATACACATTTTTATATACTGTATCTATATAATAATAATAATAATAATAATAATAATACCATAGTATTAACATCATAGTACCCTTTTGGTAAGGGGTTACATGCATGTTACATCAAATTACTTGTGCTGACAGAAAGTTTGACCTCCCATAAGACAATATAGATAATTTTTTTACTTTTCTATACATGTGTTTAATCTACTTTTGGCCTCTTGATTTAGACGATATATTTAGAGGTTGAGCTTAGAGAAATTAGCATAGAAATTAGCCCTTAAGATCAGCATCATCTTAAAAGAACACACTCACATGCATAATGCACACACACACAGATACAGCACCATGACTCGTTTGCCATAAAAGTAATTAAAAATAAGGCGTCTCATTTACGAAGTAAGCAAGTCTTTTGTTACTTTGAATTAGCAGAGATACTTTGAAAGACAGCGATATGGAAGCTAGGTATTATCAAATGTGTATCAACAAAGACATCCCTCAGTGCAATTCTTTATGTCTCTGCTGAGCGTAAATGTCAGTAGGTTACATGTAGTTCATTATAAACTTGCATGGTATTTGCCTAGATGGTGTGTCTTTTATTGGTTTGATCTATATGCAACTTTCATTCTAGTATATTCCGTTGTATCTCCTTCTGGGGTGACAAGTTCCAGCCAGTGCAGTTTCTTTGTCCCCCAACATGTTTTATTGAGCAAAGTTTCTATGCCTTTAGATGGTTCAGGTCTAAAAATATCCAGGACTGTTCTTTGGCTGGCATTTAGCTCAATATGAGCCTCATCTGCCCCTAAGCTGAAGTTGGAATTCATGTGTGCTGGGAATTATGTTCAGCAGCCATTAGTTCTGTTTTCCTCTCAACTCTATAAAGTCATATGAACAAAGAGTCAGAAACTAAACTGATTTTAAGTCTTACAAGCTTTAAGTACAACATATGCAGTATGCTGTTTGTTTAAAAAAAATTCAGTACGAGTCAGATATTACACTTGCTGCACTGTATGAGCCATTTCTTTGGCTTCAAGTGAATCAAAAACAAAAGAGCTGTTTGTTCAGAAATCTGGCAACACTGGACATGCTGTGTATTTTTGATTCGCTAAAAAAAGTACCAATTCAAAAGAGTAATTTGTTCAGTAATCATATTAAAATTACAATTGGAGTTCACACATCACAATTTTTGTTTTTGATTAACTTAAAGGAACCGACTCAAACATTCAGGAATTGGAGTTAATTGATTGTGTTATATGTTTATAAGACTAATTTGTTTGGGAGTCGGACTACACTGTTCACACTCTGTTTTTGAATTGGTACTGGCTCAAAAGTGTTCCGTATTGACATTCCATCATGATGTAATTGTTTGGTTCATATAATATAACCTCCCCATAAGACCAATTTGTTTAGGAATTTGACTACTGCTGGTCATGCTGTATGTGTTTCATCCATAGACTGTAAAAAAAAAAGAAAGAAAAAAAAGATGGACGACTCATCCCCTCTTCCTTCCACTATAGAAAAGTGAGCCCAAGTCTGCACAGCAGTGATCGTGAGGTGGAGCTGCGGTATCGAAGTCCCGCCCAAACTCCCACAGACCCAATCGCAAGCTCACAATCATGACACCATACCCCGTTTTTATAGCATCAACAAACTAATTAAAACCAAACTTATTAGAAAAATTAACACTTGAACATACATCAGTGTGATAAGAACTACCTAAAATGATGAAAACCATGTTTGGTAAAAATGTATTTTAAGTGTGATTTGATTATTTAGTTTGGCTCGCATCCCATTTCTTTTACATGGAGAGGGCAGGGTTTATGACCTATACAGCAGCCAGCCACCAGATGGCGAATGAAATGTTTTGGCTTCACTTTTCAGGATGTGTGCGGCACACTTGGTTTCATCCTGTAGATTCAGTAGTGGTATGTTTGTTATAAATAAAACCCTAATGCCACCTAGCTTAAGTCACCTGACACGATTAGTGGAGAGTTTTTGCAGTACTTATTATAAACTGTTTCTTCTCACTTTTTAATAATGGAATTTTTGTGAAAATCCAAGTTAATTTACCTTTTTCTCCCGACGGTGAGGTCTGGTGCGAAGACAAATTATGAAAGTAGCAAATGAGTGCTGCCTAGTGGTGAATTTGCACACTGGCATGCAATGGAAAACTCCAGACAGGGTTGCAAGCAGTGTAATGCGGCCCTATAGAACAATAACCTCCAGATGTCTGCTGCAGAGCTGCAGGCTGACTGATGCCCAAACGGGTTTCTTCTCAGCGGGGAAGGATGGGGAGCCAGCTGGCAGGGCTGGTTTATCTGGAGCTACGGGAGCTCAGGGCAATCCAGGCAGCCATTTCACACACGCTGACTCCCGAATGCGCCCACACACACACACACACATGTACACACGTATATGTAGCAGCACATTCCTTACATCTGCCGTGTGCCGTCCCACAACACAATATGCTTGTTCCAGTTTATTCTTTCCTCACTGTCTGTTGTAATGGGTGCAGTGCTTGTTGCCCTACCGAAGGAATAAACCTTTTCATTAGGCATGCTGTTGTAAGTCTGTGCCATTCATTGGCGCCGCCAGCTTGGATCTTCCCGTGCTGTTGGCTACACATTCGGAGGAATGCTTCTGCAGCGCCAATGAGAGCTGATTGATAAATCAAGGTTTTTATCACAGCTCCCAATGTCCTGTTTGTCAGCAGGCAAAAAACAATAGAGATGGAGTAAGAGACAGATCGAGAAGATGAATACCCTGCACTAATGAACAAATCTGCGAGGGGAGAGATAAAGCTTTTGTCTGTGTTCAAACACATTTGGCTGGTCACACTGTATCTGAAAGAATCCTCCCGAAGGTGATGTTGCTATTTTCTTACTATAAAGAACATTTTAATAATCTAAAGAAACTTTTGTTCAAGACAAAGGTTCCATGAATGTCAAAGGTTCTTATACCAGGGGGATGTTGAATACTTGATTCTGATCAGTCATTGAATGTTCTAAGGTATGCAGTTATTTTCCAGTAAACCCATAGCTACATATAGTTCCAGGTCTGTCGACCGCATTAGCCGCAAAACACACTGACCAAGCAAACAAATATGACTAACATGACTATCATGCTTAAAAATGACAACTTCCATGTTTTTTCCAACAAAATTACCCTATGGATAATAAAACGCTTTCTTTCTCCCGCTCTCTGCATGCACACAGATAATGTACAGACACACACTCGCACGCAAACATACAGTACATGCACAGAAATTTGTTGTCAGCTCTGCCCTGCCATTGACTTTTTCAATAAAGTAGTCTGCAAATGAAAAGCTATATGGCATTTCTCAGTAGCAAAGTTGTACCGTCACAGTTGTTTGAAGAAGTTAAACTTACAGTTTCGAAGTTAGTAACACACAGACTCAGGTAATTTACACAAGCTTAATCTTTCCAAAGAACTTGCTGCTCAACATTAAAATACTCGGCTAGTGCTTGCTGTAGCAGTTGCAGCGCGCTTCAGAAACTCTCCACCTTCCCCAGCTCCACCTGTATAGATCTGCTACAGGGTGACTTCATGTATGCTATATTTGGGGGTTATTTTATGTTATATGTGCAGCAACAGTATTTCTTACATGCTCACAGCAACGTATCTGTGGATGTATTGGCAGTAGCAAGTCTCGGTACTTGATCTGCCGCAGCAGCAGGGTTGCAGATCTATTCCGCCAAGACCAAACATATCATGTATATTATCATATAACTCTCCAAGATTTGTCATGACAGAACTGCATTAGTCTGCATATTTATGTCTCAAGCCTCTATTACTCGCTCCAAAATTATGTTTTGGAATTACCAATGGCGATTTGAGATGATATCCGTAAGAAATTTGTGGTAACACTTTAGTTTAGGGACTAATTCTCACTATTAACTAGTTGCTTGCTTATTACAACTAGCAACATGCATATTACTGTTTATTAGTACTTATAAAGCACATATTAATGCTTAATTCTGCATGACCATATTCTAGATTTTTTTATCCTATGCCATACCTAAACTAACTTACTAAGCATTAATAAGCAGCAAATTAGGAGTTTATTGAGGCAAAACTCATAGTTAATGGTTAGTTAATAGTGAGAATTGGTCCCCAAACTAAAGTGTGACCAAAATGCATAAGAGTGTTTAAAGGACAAAAACCTCTCTTTCACATCGTGCCCACATTACCACCTCGGGTGGGCATTATTTTTCAATAATTCAATGGCCCGTCATCAATTATTACTTACTTCATGGAACCATCGATGCCAATTTTTAAGATGGCATAACCACATGCCGAGTTGGCTGTTTAGACACAGGAGCTTCGAATGCCTTCTTAAAAATTTTCTTTTCTCTGGGAGGATTATTTAGCCTTCACTGCTCAACTTGATTTTACCTTGATCTCTTTTCCATTCTCCAACCTCGTCTTTCTCTATTTCACCCTCTTATGCACAGTAATTCCACCTGCCGCCCCCCGAAAGGTCTCGTTGCAGCCTCTCTCTGTTGCTGTAGCGGGTACCTGTGAGCTTTGTGGATGAGCAGAGCTGAGGCGGAAGTGATTTTATCAGCGCCTCACAGCTGCCCTCCTCACTCATTCAGAGCTCCCTCCCTCCGCTGCAATCCCTCCATTTTCCAAGCCCCTGCAGCCAGTGCCCCTGCAGCTGTGAAAAATTAAAACAAAAGAGGGAAAAAATACAATATGTTTGCTCAGATTTGCCTCACATCTGTTCGAGCTCTTCTGCCGACAAACCGTGTTTGTGAGACATGCTTGAGTTGGCAACCCCCGCCGAGGGACGCCAGACAGACCAAGAGAGAGAGAGAAAGAAGACTGGGATTTGGCGAAAGCATCTCGGCTAGAAAATGCAGTGCCACAGACATTGAGGTGTCAGGGGAAGAAACGGCAACACAGGATTACATGAAAAGCTGACAATTCAGAGATGAGCACTAAAGACACTAAATGAACCGCAGGACAGTCCCCTTCCCCACACACTCACACACAGTCAGCCGCTGTGAAAAACGGTGGCTGTTTGATTGGTTGCATCAGTCCTCTTCCTTGGCCTTTGGATGAATCAAGTGAGGGTCAGCGGCAGCTCTAGTTTTTCTTGTCTAAATTATTGATGTGGTATTTCATCAATCTTTTTCATTGGGCACCCATGAGGAAATGTCATGGTATGCGTCACTGTGGTATTGCTGTGTTATAGGGGCTGGTTTACAGAGGCCTTGATGTGATTTGTCATTTTGATTGGTCGTTTTAGGAGAAACCGCACAGCTATGTTTACGATACTAGCGCAGGGCTCAGGTGTGCACGTACTACTCCACAACTGTTTTGTACCATTACCTCACAAATAATGAGGGATTAGTAGTAATTGGCAGGTATGTTCTCCTATTAAAGGTGTGTTTGTCTCTTCAAACTGTCCAATGTACATTGTTAATTTCTCTTATAACTCTGGAGACTTAAAAGAGTTCTTAATTGTGATTCATTAAACTCTGTTTCCAAGTTTTTCCCCTTTCTATTTGAGCAGTGTTAATTTTTAAGCTTTTTGGGGGTTTTTTTCGGGGGGGTTTTTTCATTTTGTCATAGTCTTTAAATTCAATATTTTTTTCATTTCATTAATTAATTTTAGTCAATTTGACTAAAATTTGACTTTTACTTCAACATGTTTAATTTAGCATCAAATATTCAAATATTTATATTTAAGTATATATCAGTTTAATTAATTCAAATCCAATTTACCCAAACCAGTGTTATTATTATTGTTAATTATTATTATTATTATTGTTGTTGTTAATTTAAACTTTTAACAATTATTTTTGTTAATTGAAATAAAGCTGAAATAAAACAAAATATACATATTAGATGAAAAAATTTAAGTACTAAAATTAATAAAACTAAAACTGAAATACAAATAAAGCTAAATAGAAATATAAAAAAACAAATAAAAATGACAAAGCACATATTAAAATATTAAACTTTTTTAATTAAAATGAACTCTCTTCTATAGTTCGGTAACTAGTGGGTTTCTTTTTAATAAACTGTCTTTGTGTGTGAATATCAAGATCTGCTTCATATGGAGTGTACTTATCTGTTTTCCACAGTTTGCTGGGGATGGTGTTTATGGCGGATCCTCCCACAACTACTATCAAAATCCCAGGCTCATTACATTTCCAAGACAACACCAGCGTGGCTCATCCAATGGGCTGCGGCGACAAAAGAGAGACTGGGTCATTCCGCCAATCAATGTGCCTGAAAACTCCAGAGGACCCTTCCCTCAAGTTCTTGTCAGGGTCAGTAACATCTTCTGTTCACAGCTTACTTGTTATAAAGAGCCTGGAAGATTTGCTGGGTTTATTTTGATTAAACACACAAGACCTTAATGTCTTCTGCCTGCTTTGACATCTCCATCACTTATACTTGACGATCATATGGAATATTTTGACACATACTGCTTGGTTATTAGTAAAACAGATATAACATTCAGCCATGAATAAAAAAAACTCAAGAGCTTGGCAAGCTGTGTCTTTCAGATCTGACAGTTCCACAACTGAAGTTACACTGTGTCCCTTTGAGACATAAAAGAACAAGCCTCTCAAGTCTCCTCATGGAAGCTTTTACTCATGCCTCGCACTTCTGAAAGACAGAGCTTTCCTTGCCTTGCTCTTGAACCGCAGAGAAACCTAAGAGGTTAAAAAGCAGTATCACAGGTGAACATTTTCAAGAGCCTTCTTTCAGACAGCTCTTCTGCGTCTGCTGCTGAGAGCCCTTCTAAGGTAAGAAGAGGACTTGTGCTCCCTCTCTGAGTCAAGGGTTGATGAGGAGGGGGCTCTGAGGTAGATTGGCACAGTGTATCAACATCTCTCATCCATCTAATACTTCTACAAAGCCTCTCCTTAAGTTTCTTCAGCATGAGATGAGAAATGAGGTTAAGGCGAGATCTTTTGTATCATATCTACTGGGTTCACTGCTAGGTTAGATCTGGCTCAGATGTAAGGCATAATGTACTGTTGGGGTCCTGATGGACCCTGCATTCGGCATCAACCAAGAACATCTTTTAAATTCCAATTCAATTTTAAAATAATTTGAGTGAAAATTTGGTCCCACTTTATATTAAGTGGCCCTAATACCTGTGTACTTACATAGTATCTAGATGTGTACATAGTATCTAACTTCAGTGTAAGTACACATTGGTACATAGTATCTACAGCTGTAATGTTTGTGTAACAACACATATGTAACAACCCACTGAATAGTATGTGTAAATACAAATGTGTAACAGGACATTGGTAACAACACTTTTTGGTAATGAAAGTACAAATGTATAACAGGACTAACAGCACTTTTTGGTAAAGAAAGGTTACCCTTTATATTAAGTAAACAAGTCCTATGGATTTACCATGTAATTACTCTGATGTTACACAGCAGCGGACAGTAAGTTAGGCTTTACGTATAAATTGTGGTTGGTGTCCAGAATGTTACACTTTATATTAAGTGGACAGTTCCCGAGGAGTTACCATGTAAGTACACTGGTATTACAGTGGTGCATCAACTCCACCAACTTGAGATCCAACTCCTCCCACTTTACATATCCCTAAACCTACCCATCTCCACCCCATGGATCAAATTGTTCCAATTACTCTTATACATATTGTTGTTACAAAATGTAGTTATATATGTCCAGTTACACATTTGTACTTACACAAACCATTCGGAGAGTTGTTACATGTGTGTAGTTACATAACTATTACAGCTCTAGATACTATGTACCAATGTGTACTTACACTGTGGTTACATACTACGTACACATCTAGTTACTATGTAAGTACACAGGTATTAGGGCCATTTAATATAAAGTTTAAGAAGCCT